CCTTCCTTCCTTCCTTCCTTCCTTCCTTCCTTCCTTCCTTCCTTCCTTCCTAAAAGGTCTGTTAGCTATAGATTGTTGCCACCCAGCAGTCTAGAAATGGGGGGGGAGTAGAACCTTTAAAGACAAGCAGAGATGAAACATCAATATTCTGTGTCCCACTTCGAAAATTGGTGGAAAGACACATTCCCGACCTGTTCCTGCCAACAGCCCCTCCCAGTCCAGCTCTTCTATTTCCCCCAATGCCTTGTAATTGGACTGCTGCTCCCCACCGCCATCTTTTCCCATGATGCGCTGTGACCCCCTGTCCTGGATTGCAGTTCTGTTGCTACCCTGTGACTAGGAAGGGAGGCGGCCTGCCGAACCCAGCCAGGACACCTGCAGCTAGACACATCGTCCAGCACTGGGTGCCTCTTGCCCCCTCGGACTTGCCCAGGAATGCAGAGTGTGGTCGTCCTGCTTTCGCCACACTGCCCCCCTTCCATGCAATGCCCTGAATGCAGCCTCCCCCCCCTCCCCAACAATGGAAACAAGAAGTTTCAGAAGGGCCATTTTGTGCTATTGACAGCAGCTTTTATTCTCCTTTTTCCAAGTTCTGCCAAGTCCAGTCTGGCTGGCCCCACCACTCTCTGTCACGATGGCCCAGCATGCACTTTGCTGGTCACACCCACTCCAGCTCTCAGCTGCAGATCAGAGTGTCCTCTAGGGGCTAAGGTAAGTCCTGTCTTTTTTTCGTTTTACAATATTACGTGGTTTTGCAAATGTTGGCCTCTTTATTTTTATTATTATTATTATTTCCTTCTCCCATACTCTCTTTCGGCTTCATTACAAACTATGATTTTGGTAAAAAAAAGAAGATTAACAGTAAACTTTGCTTTACCACACAATATTGTAAACACCAAAAAAAGATTGGTTTCTGTTTTCGGAAATGACAGTGCCACAATATCCAAGCAACGGCACAACAATGTGAAAAGGAAGACAGTGCAGGAGACCCATTTGGCATCAGCAGGGTTTTTAAAAGATCAGTGAAAGGAAGTGGATGCAAAATTCTGTTGAACATGTAATGCTGCTTACTGAGTCTGGTCTCTGGCCCGGTGAGCTCAGTATTGCTTGCTGTGGCTGGCAGCAGTTCTCTAGGGTCACGTCTTTCCTGAGATCTGCTACTGAGACACTTTAATGGGCGAGGCTAGCAATTGAACCCAGAAGCTTCTGTGTACCCCACTTCATGGCTCATCCCTATATGTGCCTGCCTTTTTTGCTGCATTTTTCTTCAGTTCTATGCAATGCTCCCTCTAAGCTGTGGAGTCTTGTGAGCAAAAAATTCTACTTTGTGAGCTACTGGCGTTAAAGTTGTGAGTGAGCAGTTTGGCTACTGCATGAATTAGTTGGCTCTGGAGCCATCCCTTCCTGAGCGAAGACAAAAATGCGAGCTGGAGGCTAAAAAACTGTGCTCACACTAACTCAGCTTAGGGGGAACACTGGTCCTATGTCTGGCTGCAGCCATGAGTTAATAATAACAGAATCCTGTGACTTAGAGGCATATTTTTTTCTGGAGGGAAATGTTTTGCCTTAACCTAGCTGGTTGAAAAATCCCACTTGTCCTTGTATGTTTTGCTTTTTAGAATAAATTATTTTTAAATTATAGACAGTTCTGCCCTGAGAGCTGGACTTGACGAAACATCAGCCCCAGAGTCACCATTTTGAAGCAGTGAGTTCCCACCTGGGGGAACTCCTCTTAACTGCACTGCGGGGCCCAAGAGCACTGGGAAAAGGGGCTTCTGTGTCCCCCTCTGTACTGCGTTTTCCAACCTAAAATGTCACCGGGGGAGCATTATTTGCCCATATGCCCTCTCTAGTGCCTTTTGGTTTCAGAAAAATGGCATGGGGGAGAGGCAGGAACAGGCCTGTAGCCAGGATTTTGAGGCTTGTGGGGCAATTTTTTTTCCTGGCGGGGCTGAAGTTCTCGGTGCAGAAAGAAAAGCCATTGAGCCAAATAGAAAGCTGTGACCACGATAGATCTCTGAATTGCAAGCTGGCAACCGCTTCACGTGGCAGTTCTCAGCTGCTGCAAGTCCATC